TGCTACATCCAGAGTCAGGCCTGGTAGGCAGAGAAGTGAGAATCAGGCCTGGATCTGACAGCACAGAGGTCACCAGGCACCCCAGAGAACCCCCGTGGAGGGCAGGAGTGGAGCAGACAGGCAAGACAGCACAACCTCCTTAGAGGAAATTCTCCATAAAGGAAGATGGAGGAGTGGAGCCGGAAGTGGAAGGCGAGAGTAGTGGGGGGGTTAAAAGCTGGGTTTTATTTACTGGTGTCTTTAAAGCGGGGGAGGTCACAGCACATTTGTGGGCTGACTGAGAAGGAAACGATGACGCAGGAGAGAGGACGCAGGAGTAAGTCCCTGCAGGAGGGGAGGGGGCAGCCAGGGCCCCAGGGAGAAGTTGCTGCGGACAGGAGGGCAGACCTGGGGAGCGGGCAGGCTGGGGGACAGGAAGATGGAGACGTTCTCTTCCAGGTGCTCATGTTTCCTCAGTGAGGCAGGAGACAAGGTTTCTGGCTGAGGACAGGAAGAGGGAAAGGGTGTCCGAGGTTTGAGAAGAAAGTGTAAAAAGTATATGTAGTGAATAAACTCGTTAGAGAAATACAGCAGGTCTGCCAGGCAGCATCTGAGGGCCGATTTGGGGTCTGTGGGTGTAACTTAAAGGGAGACCAGTCAGTGGTGCTGCATTTTCTTTATAACCATTTCAGCTACTCAAGGACAGGGGTGGAATAAGCAGAGCATTGGATTCAGCCAGGGCTGGGGTTTTCCCAAGGAGCATAGCAGACAAAAAAAGGAGAAAGGCAGTTGATTGCACTGAATAATATAACCAGCAGGTATTTACCTGGTTTCCGTTCTAAAAGTTGTTGTAAATGAAACACTGCTTGTTCATAGTCCTGTTTTCTGAACATGAGATCTGCCATCATCTATAAAGGTAAAAGTTAGTTCTAAAAATATTGCCATATATTTTACAAAAGCATGTTCTTCCTGTCAAGATTTATTGCTATGAAAACACGTATGAAAAACATGAGGAGGGCAAAGTCTTATAAAATGGAGCCATTTAAACTTCAAGCATACCTTAAGCAGATTAGCACTGAGATCAGAGTAACAGAAGATAATTAAGGAGGTGAAACAGATCACTCTGTTCACAAAATTGTACTTAGCAGGAAATGTTTTAAGTAGTTATTTAAAAACTGAAATTTGAAGGGAATCACACACTCTGTGTGCTAACATAGAGAAGACGCAGCTAAAATAATGAGAAAAATTTTTTTTAAAACCCAAACATTCTTAAATATTTCAAAGGAATTTAATGTAAGCAAGACATACTGAGATTTTCTTCTGTGTTTTAAAAGGAGATTTCTTATATTTCTTTTTAGTTATGACTCATTTATAAAATTATTAAATGATCCTCACAAACTGTTATCTATGTGTTTGAAAAATCTAACAAAAACCTCAATCCAGGTAAAAATGAGAAAGAAAAGCAAAAACTCTATTTAAAACACACCATCTCAATGATACATAAAGATTTTTTTCTGTAACTCCAAAAAGTCCCACTGAAACTGTTAAATTAGTGCAGCACATTTGAGTAAATACTTAAAAGTCTTTAGCAAATTTTAGCTTTACCACATGAACTCTTCCTGACCGAGCATCCTCTTAAGTCATAAAGAAAATGAACAAGACATAAAAGGGCAAATAAAGGCCTGGCCGAGGTTCACCATTCTTACAGTCTTGGTCTTGATCGGTAAAATGTACTAATAATGAATGCTATTTCTCCTAAAAGACAGAATGAGCCAGGCCTCGCATCTAGTATTAGTTTCATCAGCTAAAATGTGGAACGTCCACACTGAACAGATATAAAACACAATGGCCTTTACAGCACCGTGGCCTCCTGGACTGACCATGGTGGCGGCCTCGTTGTCCTGGTCGCTCTGGAGCAGCAGAGCGCAGTGCCGCAGGCAGGCGTCGGGGTCATCCTGGGCCAGGTACAGTCGAGCCAGCTCCAGCATGATCTGCAGAGAAGGGCAAGATGAGTCAGAAACTGCCTGGGATAAAAATTGAATTAGGAAGATGTCTCGGCACAGAGTAAAATAAACCATTTGACCAAAAGTTATTGCAATAAAAACGCCAAGCATGATAGGCAGGAAAACTATAGGTCTGCTCAACTCTGGTTTCTTTTATACTGGGGGAAAAAAAAGGAAAAACAGACCTAACTCATTTGAAAAGTGGAGAGAGACAAAGCATTGTGGAAAGAACACTGGTCTTAAATCAGGAGACAGGATTCTAGTCCAGGCTTCTCCGTGATGGGGCCTAGTCCCTATCCCCTCTCCAAACCTGTTTTCCTCATTTGTGCAATTAAAAAGGCTGCAGCGGATTACCCCTAAGTAGGCTCCAGATTTACAGCTCTGATTCCAACCCCTTTAACCAACACTGAACAAGGCACTGTTTGGTTATGACTTAATAAAGGTTATTTTTGCCTTACATCTGAAAGAGTTGTATTAATTTCAAAATGTCCAATCTTCAAATTTATGGTTGCCTTTCATTTTACATCACCTATTTAGGTATTTGGCCGTTTATTAGACTTTTTAAAAAAATTGTTAATCATCTACCATGATCTGAGAGAGTAACAACATTTGTTTATAAACTGGCCATGAATGTAAGTTTTCTACACTAGTATAATCTTGACACTTATTCTCATGCTACGCCATTTGAGGTAAGAGGCTCAATCTCGTCACTTCTGTATACCCAGCACCAAATGGCAACTGAAACACCGAAGAGTACAGTCACTGTTTAGTAACTGGAACTGAACCATCCAGATTCAGATATTTGAGACTGAAAATTGTTTTTTAAGTGACTATTAAAACACAGATGAATATAAAAATCAAACAGCTTGGAGTTTTACTTTGTATCACTTGTTCCATAATAATTTTTAGCCTCTAACATTATTTAAGGCATCATGTATTTTGAAGAATTTCTAGAAGCAATATTAAAATTTAACTTGCATTTTTGTTACATTTTTCAAATCTTTATAAATAAGCTGGTAAGAAGTTTACATTTGGGAAAATCAGACAACATCTGGAATAGAAAGTGCTTAAAATTTTATAAAGGTACTGACCTTATTATCTGTTTCACAATGAACAAGAGCCTCTCTATAAAACTTAATTGCTTTTTCATAGTCTCGCTGAGCAACAGAATGTTTTGCAATCTCTGCACAAATTTCAGCTGCTAAATGTTTCTGTGCAGGAACTGCATCTGGCTGTTCCATCTGAACACGTTTTAGTACCCGAGCTTGTAATTCGCGAGCCTGGAAAAATACAGGGGTAAAAAAGGAAATAAAAAAAGAAATAGAAGAAATAAAATAGTTCTCAGTAACTCACATGGAGCATAGTTTTACAGATTTATTTGAGCACTATTGGCCTTCAATTTAACAAAGACTGATCCAAAGAAAATGTCTTAGTTGAGGTCTTAAAAAGGTACTTGTTTGCAAATGAGCCAGCATGCACTTACTTACCTTTGCAACGAATGTACTATAAAATTACTGAGTCTTTTTCCACTGTAATAAGGATATGTACAGAAAGCTCACTAAGAGGGGAATGCAACCATGAAACGAGTATTTAGAAAAGACGTCTAGATGCTATAATTAAAATTTTAAATGTTTATTAAATTCAAAAAATAGTACCTAAAAGGTACTAAATCAAATATTGGCAGGTTTCAGGCAATACGTTCATCTATATACTGTCAATGGCATATAAATCAGTCCAGTCTCTCTGAGGATCACCCTAGTAAAACATGCTAACTTGATAAAACTAACTAGGCTACTGAAGTTAGGTGTTCCTTTCCTGGGAAGGTATTAAGGACATCACTCAGAAGGAAAAAAGGAAACATATTATTTGTTATAAAGAAAAACAATCTGTTACTTGTTGCAAAAACAAACAAAACAACAACAAAACAAAATTAAAAAATCTGGATGCAACCCAAATGCTTAATGATAGGGAAATGGTTAATCAGTTCAGAGTGTGGTCCTATACTATGCACAGACATCCTGAAAGGAGGCAGGGACCTTCCTCAGGGTAATAATGGAGTTTGCTAAATTGGAAGAGTATCAGCTTTTCCACCCAGTCTGGTTTCTGAAACACTGAGACTTTCCTCTAACAAGTGACAGAACTCCTATGCGTCAGGCCTTCACAATAAAATTTAACTTTGAGCTAGAGCTAATCATTCACTCATGCATTCATGCATCCATTTAATGAACAGTATAAATGCCCACCATCTGCCACACATAATGCTACACACAGGGAGCCTTTCTGGGGACTCCTGTCACAATACTGGTTGACAACTGGTATTTGATGAAGATGGTCTAAAGCTGATTATTTTTTGGAACTACAGGTCATAATATTAATTTAGGGCATCATAAGCTTTCTTTTGGAAACTGAAGAGAAAAGATTAGAAAATACTAGTGTATACAGCATGTGTCAAAGGTTAATACTGCTTTGTGAAATTTTTATTTTGGTTATATTAATGTGTGTTTATATACAGATAGAAGTATGTATACATTTGTGTCTTTGATGCTTTACATTTTGCATACATCAGTGTGCATGGTTTTGCACATGTGCACACATTCATAGTCAAAGAATTCTGAAACAACTGGTCTAAATAGGGTGATCATGCCTCTCTGTCTGGCTTTTAACTTCTCTTTTATACCTGCTGTGCCAGCTTAATGACAAATGCTGCCTTTTTTTTTTTCTAAAGAGTATTCTGGCTTGAAAAATTATATGGTCCTGCTAGGTTTAAGAGATATGCAATTCATTCTCTAGACAGTCTGAATTTTGTCTCTGAATCAAATAAATCTCTAAATGTCAAATATGTGGGCTTCATGAGCTTAGCATCCTAGAGAAAACCCTTTACCAGTTAGATTTTGTGATGCTTTGCAATTTTCTTAAAGGTAAATAAAAGGGGGGAGTTTTTTTGAGTAAAAGTTTTTTGCATTTTCTATTAAAGACATAAAAGAATGCTCAAATTCTGTAAATGTATACAATAATCATTAAGAAATATTTTCATGTAGAATAAAGTTTTTTTTTGAAGAATTGATACCATTCCCTATGTTTTTCCTTGGTTTCATCAGAAATAAATTTTAATTATCTGTTACAATAACTATATTAATCTTGAATGTCAACACATTTACTTTTCCCTTCCCCTTCCTTTTTTAATATGTATTTTTGTAAATTCCCTCAAACCCTTAGGTAGAATAAAGTATATATATAAACATCTTATTTCAAAGGCTTCTTAATTTCCCTTTTAATTTCTATAGCCTTATTGTATATCTTACTAAGACCATATCATAATAAAATATACCAATAAAATTAGAATACATATTACTGTATGTGATGAAGATGGAGCTATGTAAACATACTGGAAAAAGCCATACAAATGAATGTTAAGTGAAAGAAGCAAAAGCAAATATAATCTGTACATATTAAAACTATAAAAGTTATAAAGTCCTAAAATTGTTTGTTTTATGGCATATAGGTTGTTTATTCCTGATTTAGCTTTTATTTTCATAGAAAATATAATTAATATACTAAAAAATGATTTTTCCTATAATTGTTTCTGCAATTACAAAGAATGACAATGATCGATGATTTCCTTTCAGTCATTCAACAGAAATGTTGAGAATGTATCACGGTGGACAGATTTGAAGATGGATCCCACGAGCTTCACCTCTCGTGCAACAAGAGGATGAGGATTAGTTAGGAGGAGTCTGGGCAAAAGACGATGATAGACAGGGCTACAAGGTGACAGAGAGGGGTGAAGAAGAAATGTGGAGTTATTTCAGGAGTATGAAATTTGTAGGAAGTAAAATGAGTAAGAATTGGGATTTCCTTAAATTTACTGGTTCTGCCACTGCCTGAAATGTTAAGCAACCATGCAAAACTGTCATGATGGAACCCCCAAGTTCCATAAAGTGGAGAATTAAGCTCAATAAATAGTTGCTGAATAAATGAATTTAAAATATCAAAAACTTGGATTACACTTAGAAAGTTTCTACTGGAATTGTATTTTACTTGAATTATTTTGTAATATTACATTCAGATTCAAATTGTTTGAATTGTACTTCAAAAAGATTTATCTTTTTAGAGATTAGAACGCATGGAATATTACAGGTGGGAAGAATGTTATGGCTCTTCAAATTTTATGAAAGATGAATAATCCCTGTGCTATAACATATAAACTTAAAGTGAATTTGACCTTGGTTTGTTGGCACTGTCTAGTCATAGTATACTGTTTGTTTTTTTTGGTATTGTTCAATGTGTCTGGTCATATTAACACAGGGGTTCATGCAACCAGGTTAGTGGGACTAATGATATTCATAATAGAATGAAATAAGTCAAATTCACTTCTAAAATGTTTTGAAAGTCTAAATTTACAAAAATTACACTTTCCTTGTAGCTAATGGTAACTAACCTCGGGTTAGGTGTAATTCTTTTATCATGTGATTCAGAAAATAGAGATATAATATACCAACAATTAAAAGATACTAAGATTGTTGAAGACTACATCTTAATGAAAATCCTTAGTTTACATGGGGATCACAGGACTCTACTAGTACAAGCCCAGTTCATTCACAACTAGAACAAATAAATATTATTGGACACTGCCACTGAAACACAGGTCATTTTATATGTGTGTATGTATGTATGTGTGCATATGTTAACCACTGTTAGCTAAAGCTCGAAGTCAAAACATTCAATGAATTATTTGCAGAATGTAAAACTCTTCCAGGTACATGAAAATCAGGTCAAAAGGTGGCAAGTAGTATGGTATTCTGGAAAGCACATGGGATTGATCCGTAGTGAAGTGCTCTATGTTGTACTTCAAGCTCAGAGATGTGGGGCAAAGCAATGACCAGATTTGACCTAATTGGATATACAATGAATTAAGCACTCAGTAATGCCAGAAACCTATTATTTCAAATCCACATGGAACCTTTACCAACTGATTACAATGTAGGATATAAAGCAAGCCTTAACAAATTTCAAAGGATTGAATCATTCAAAGTATGTCTTTGACCACAGTGGAATTAAACTGGAAATCAGTATTAAAATGATAATAAGAAATTGGAACTGCTTGGAAATTGACCACTGCACTTTTAAATAACCAATGGGTCAAAGAAGTGATCAAAGTGCAAATGAGTAAATATTATGAACTGAATAATAATAAACCTGTGAGATATAGCTAAAGCAGTGCTTAGAGAGAAATTTATCACCTTAAATGAATAACAAAAGAACAGAGGCTAAAAATCCACTACCTAACATACTATTTAAATAAACTAGAAAAAGATCAGCAGATCAAACCCAAAGAAAGCAGAAACTAATGAGGTAAAAAGCAAACACTTAATAAAGCCAGAGAAGCAAAAGTTGGTTCTTTGAAAACATTAAGATAAGAAACCCATGGCATAATTGATAATTAATAGAAGGAAAATAAAATAAAAAAGATGACTTTTTACAGCACTTGCAGATATTCAAAAGATAAGATATAATGAACAAACCTATGTCAATAAATTTTACAATTTAATAAACTGAACAAATTACTTAAAAAATATAGCCATCCAAACCAACAAATTTTAAAATGATGAGCCTGAAACTTAGAGATGTTGAATCCATTAATAAAAATCTTCCATCAAAGATGCCTCAAAGTCTCAACAGTATTAATACTAAATTGTTCCAAACATTAAAGAAACAGCATGCCTTAGAGACCAGTCTTTCTCATGAACATGTATGTATAAACCCTGAACAAAATATTAGGAAATATCTTTAAATTCCAGCAAAATCTTTAAAAAAAAAACCACAGGTGACATTTACTTCAATATGGTTTAACATTCAAAAATCAATTTAATACACCACAATAGAAAAAAACTGGAGAAAAGTCACATGACTATCAATAGATGCAGAGATTGCATTAGAGAAAATTTATCTTTTATAAAAAAACCTGTTAGCCAACTAGAAATTGAAAAATCATCAAAAAACATCAATCACTTAGGAATACATCTAAGGAAATGCATGCAAAACCTCTACATTGAAAACCACAAAATATTAAGATAAATTAAAGAAGATATGAGCGAGTGGAAGAGGAAAAAGGTGAGTTCAAATCCTGCCTATGACACTAGTCATGTGGCCTCATGCAAGTTATTAAAGCAAGCTTTCTCAGCTGTAAAATAGGCTTAAAAACATCAACCTTCCCTAACTGTTATAATAATTAGCAATGATATATTTGAACAGTACAATCCATTGGCATTCAGTCATTATTTCTATTTGACTTCTGTGAGTTGGGCCAAAAGATTGTCTTCCTTTCACATGTGGCACATTCTCTTCTGCACCCACCTCCCACCCTCAAGCCCTCACAAACACAGGCATTAGTTTACCTGTTGTAATGAAGCGACTGCATCATCAGGTCTGTCCACCTTACTATAAACTTTTGCTAGAAGAATGTGAGAACGTCCATCCTCCATGAGAGCTGATAGTTCATTTACTATGAAAGAATAAAATATATAGGGAAAAAAACAGTAATTCATTTAAAATAAATGTTTACATTTTCTATAAGTTTTTAAACTTGATTTTGGAAAATAGTTAATAAAACTAAACAATGTTCAGTAAGTTAACTGAAGAATGGCTAAACTGGAAAAAAAAATTTAGGATAAAAACTGCCTGGAAGAAAAGTTAAAGAACTGAACAACTGGAGGCTCTTCTTCAACATACAAGAGGTAACAGTAACACAGACAAGAATTTCAATTTTCACTAAGTATATAAGCATTTATGCTTATTGAACTCATTCAAAAACAAGATAGGGTAGCTGACAAATGCCAATTAAGAAGACAATTGCTATTTTTAAAATAATAGAACTTGATAAGCAATAAAGTAGTCATTAAGAACACTGACTTTGATGCCAACCTGTCTTGGTTTCAAATCTAGGCTTTCTCTCTTACTGGCTAACCATGGTAATAACTGAACAAGAAAAATACTTATCCAGTCTGTGCCTTCTTTCATCTGTAAAATAGGGGAAATAATAGTACCTATCTCATAGGGTTGTAAAAATTTAAAAGTTAGTAAATTATTAAATAAGTTAATATATGCAAAACAATTTAAGTCTTATACATGGTAAAGACTATTTAAACATTTGGTATTATTTTGTAATCTAAGAGTAATAAAAGAAGCCTAGATAATTAACAAGATGTTTCTTCCATATTTACTGAGTGCATGGTCAATGCCACATTCTGTTCGAAGTGGTTTATATAGGTTATTTCTTTAAAGTGTCATCCTGAGAGAGAGGTTCCGTTATTGCTGTCTTACAGGTAGAAAAGCTCTAAGGTGGGAACAACAAGGAGGCTGCGACAATGTTGAGAGAAGGTTGGAAGGAGAGGTCAGAGGAGCAATGACAAGCACACATGAAGGGCCGTGGGAGCCGCTGGAAGACTGGCTCAGAGAGCAAGGGGGACAAGGCTGAGCTCCAGCAGGCATGACTGGACTCCCATTGTGTAAAAGGGCCAGCACTGCTGCTGGCTTGGGAAAGGCTGTGTCAGGTGTGGGGCTGAGGATGGAAACAGGGAGACCAGGCGGAGGCTACTGTTATAATCCACCGAAGAGACCATCGTCTCTAAGAGACCGGTAGCTTAGACAGGGTGACAGCAGTGGAAATAGAGACATAGGAGGATTCTGAATACATCCGAAGGTAGAATCGAGGAAAATTTCCTATGGTCAAGGACAAGGGAGAAGGTAAGGATTTTGGCTCTTTGCAACTACAAAGAAGGATGAAGTTACTGAGATAAAGAAGGCTGCACATGAACAAATGTGGGGAGACAGATCAGGGATTCAGTGTCAGACGTGCTAAGTTTAAGATATTTACTAGAACCCAGGTGCTACTATTCATCAGCCAGGTAAACCTGGATATATCAAGAAAACTGAGTATTAGATTGCTAATTTGAAAGTGGAGATAATTTGATTTGCCTCAAAAATAATGTGAGCATTAATAAAATAATATGTAATGAAATGCACATGAAAGCGTCTAAGTACACCATTGGCTGTGTTCAGCAGATATTTATTAAATGAAAGTATACTGCATAAATGTAATATACTCAAGCCAATAAAAGAAAAACATACTACTTGAATCTCTCCTCCACATCCTTTTAAAAAATGCATATCCACATTTAAGACCATGTGTAACGTTTCAAGCAAGGTTTGCCAAGACTCATGCAAATATTTTCATGGAATTAATAACACTATACAGTAAGTGCAGAGGGAGAGGGAGGGAGAAAGAAAAAGCAAGAAAGAAAGGAAGGGAGGAAGAAAATTACTCAACCAGAATCATCGGAGTGATAGGTACAAAAAAGTCTGTTGTATGTTAAAGGTGACATTTCAATAAAATTGGCTATTCACTTGGGAAACTATATAGTGGAAACTGTGTGTGAATTAAAGTATATGAATTAAAGTTCTCCATTACAAAAATTAAAACTACAAAAATCCCAGAAAACAAAAGAATTTTTTTGTATCATTAGGATTAGAGAAGATTTTTCTGAGCATGACAAGAAATTTAGAAGTCAAAAAGAGAAAAGCCTGGTGGGTGTTAAATATTCTATTTGACTAAGGAAATGAGAAACTAGTTTGGTAAAGAAAGGACAGCCTGGGAGAAAACATCTGCCACGTGAATAACCAGCAACAGACAAATGAGTAATAGGTAAATGACTAGACAAAGGATATGAAGGGAAGGTCCTAGTGAAAATAGGATCTATAGCTATAAAATGATATCTAATCTTATGAGTCTTCAAAACAAAAGCAAGGTAGTTTTTTTCTCTATAATTAACACTACATAATGTCAGGACATTTTTCCCCTTAAGAAAGAACAATGGGGCAAGATTCAACTCTAGGAAGTACACAGGATTTTGTCTCAGTAATGTTTCTAACTTTTCTTCGATCTAAATGTCTATCAATAGGGGACTCACCAATAAATTATCGTAGCAACATACAATAGAATAAATACTCTACCTACGCAAAAAAAAAACAACACTATACTTGCCAACATGGAGAGAAGCTATTAAATAAAAAATGCAAACTGCAGACCTACAGGTATAATGACTCCTTTTTTGGTAGAAAAGTGTGATGTAATTGTGTGTATGTGAGAGAAAGACAGAAAGAGAGAGAGACAGGGGTGGGGAGACTGATCAGGATGATACACAAGCGGTTAAATGGGGATTTTTCTGAAGTGGGAGAGGGACACAACTTTCATTTACTGCTGTCATCTTTAAATTTTTGCAATGTGCAAGCACTTGATTTTATTTAAAAATACAGATCTTTAAAAAGCGTATTTGTTGGGGAGGAGGGTATAACTCAGTGGTAGAGTGCATGCTTATTATGCACAAGGTCCTGGGTTCAATCCCTGGTACCTCCACTAAAAATAAATGTTTTTTAAAAAAGTAGATTTGTATGAACTTGTAAGAAGGCAATCTGATAGTACCTAATTAAAATTTAAATGTACATGCCCTTTAACTTAGCATTTTGCTCTTAAGAACATAATAAGCAAGTGTACACCAAGGAATGAGACACCAGGATATTCATTTTAACATGGTTTACAATATCAAAAGAATGGAAAACAAACTCACTAGATAAAAGTTAAATAACTTAGAGTTATGAAATATTGTGACTCCATCAGACAGAATGATATGAACGTACTGACATCAAATTATATCTGCAACATACTGTATGTGAAAAAAGTTGCAGAATAGGAAGAATGAATAGAAAAAAATATGCATGTTACACTCAGGTATTTACATAAATATATATATAAAATATACAGTAAAGCATAAAAATAGTTACCCCTAGGGAGGTAGTTTGAGAACAGGGTAAGTAGAATTCACAGGAGAAAATCGAGACTTCCACATTACACTCTTTCATAGTGCTTAATGTAAAACAAAAACAAACACAAACTTAAAAAAAGGTTTATGAAAATGTTTATTTGTTTAAACACCAGGTATACCTGCAATTTAAAGGAAACTTCCTTTATGTCACTTTGGAAAGTAAAGTACTTTTGTATAACACAATTAACTATTTCATAAATCTGTTTTTAGATTTTTAAATATCTTATTTTAGGAGAGTGATATTCTGATAAATGAAATAACCAACCTCACACATAATATACTGAGGATACAAATACATACTACTATAAAAATAAAAAGATCAGAGATATCAGGTATATTTTTTCAAATCAGAAAGGTTTTCATACCAGGTTCATGAGCTAGAGCATGCTGGAGAACTTTTTCTGCTTTGTCATACCACTTCAATTTTAGTAAGAGTTCAGCCAGGTCATAGCAAAGATAATTTTGTTGTCCACTTTTCAGAGCAGCTTCATAGTAAGTGATTGCCTACACAAAATCCATTTCAGTTAGGAAAGAAAGGCAATGAGAATGGCGTTCAAGCACAGATATTGCACACATTGTGACCTAGAGCAACTGGAAATAACCTAAAAGCAGCTTACCATGTATTTCTACTATCGGTTAAGTATGCCGTTCTTCTTAGACTCAAACATCACACAAGGCAGCTAGCATTTCTTAAGTAGCTAAAGTATTTGGTCAAAAAAAAAATTTTTTTTTTACCGGTTTTATTGCAGAAGTTAGTGAACTTCATTGAAATGCAAATACTTTGCTAGCTGTTGTGTATACATTTAACAGTTACCAGGGGTAGGGCTTTAATATAACTAAAGGAAAATCCATTATCTTTACTAGAAAACCAACCAACCCTCAAAGCACATGGCACACCATAACTGCTTCAACAGAAAGGACGTCTGTTATGCTCCATCATATGATGAAAGACATGCAACAATAGTAAGTTTATCGTAATTTATTTGGTGGCAAAATTTTGGTGTAAGACACTAAAGTAAACTTCTTAGGGTCCAGTCTTTACAAAATGCAGCAAAGAGTAATCTGAGACACCGAGAAAGTCTTTAACACAAATTCCAGTTTATAAAGACACACTTGGAGTTTACAACCATCAAGATACAAAGAATGCTTGCTGAAATCTCTCATAGTATTTATTTACCTTTGAATAGTTGTGTGTCTTGACAAGAGCTTTCCCAATTTTGCTTGCCAATGTTCCATCCTTTGGGCTCTGATTTAATGCTTGCTCATATGCCACTATGGCTTCTTCAGGCTAATGTTGGCAGATACAAGAGATAATAAAATAACAGCTTAGCTGGATCCCATGAAATGGCAACATTTCTGTAATTAAGTTCTACATCTGAAATACTTAACAAGACTCATAAAGTACATATGAAGTCCAGAAACCTTAACAATTTCAGAGAGGAGATAGTCGCTAGTGCAGGTCTAACTGCCTGTATAATCCCACCCACATTACTTATGCCCATGTCTTCCTAAATACGTCATGCCAGAGACGGCTTCTTGACTCTTCATCCGGCCGTCATTATTACAGCTAGAATCAGAGTCAGAGGACTGCTTCCCTGTGAAGAAATCACCATTTCAACCAGTAGCTCTCTTCATCCTTTTGTTTAAAGGTGACTCTGACCTTATCTTTCATATCATCTCTATTTCAAACAGTAATGCTGGACAACTGGATCTCAACTTGAAAAAATAACTTCATTATAATGGCTGTCTCCTTTGTACTGTGATGACTGGATCTTTGAGCATTAGGTAAACGTTATGAAAATGGGAGGGGGAATTGGATGAAGGTGGTTAAGCAGCACAAAATTCCAGCTACAATTAAGTATTAGAGAAGTAATATACAACATTCCAAAAAATATAATACTGCTGTACGTTACACGTGAAAGCTTTTGAAAGAGTAAATCCTGAGTTCTCATCACAAGCAAAAATACTTTTTTCTATTGCTTCAATTTTGTATCTATGTGAGATGATGGCTACCCACCAAACTTACTATGAAAATCACTTCATGATGTAAGTCAAATCATTATGCTACATACCTCAAACTTATACAGTGCTGCATGTCAATTATATCCCAATAATACTGAAAAAAACCCCTAAATTCCTTTCAATAGGATGTTATACTAATTACAAAGAAGAGTTTTTTGGGCATTTCGTTTGTTTTTAAATTTACATTCAGTAGCATCAGAGACCTTACCTCTTGAATATTCATGTACGCATCACCAAGGAGAAGAAAAGAACGAGGGCTGGGCATCCTTTCAGCAATTTCTCTGGAAATCAGACCAACTGTACTTAGTATATTGAATACAAATTCCTTCTAAATCAGTTAAATAAAAATAAGCTTATTTATTTTAATTTACTAATAGCCTTCAGAGTACCTTCTTCATACCCAACCAACAGTGTAATTTAAAAAAAAAAACCCACTCATACTCAGATTGTTTATGCTAGGTCAACAATTTTTTTCATTAAATCTTTCCATTTTCTGAAACACAGGTAAATCTGTACAGGTAGATAGTAAACATGTAAACTCTCATTATCCAGAAATATGTTTTGCTCTCTTTAATTCTGAAACGATATGGGAATGAAGCTCCGAAACATGATAAACACTTATTGTCCTCCTATGCATCCTGAACTCTGATATTCATGGCATAAATCATATACTGCGAGCTACCTTAAAAAATATAAAATCTTCTTTGGTATTTGCTGCTTATTTCTTACCTGCAAAATGCAGACTTCTAAAGGTCAAAATACCAAAGTGTGAGTTCAAATAATAATGTGATGCTAAGTCTTTAATTTACAGTATCTCATTTAATTCATCCAAAACCTCCATGAGAAAAGAGTATTATGATTTTATAAATGATGCTAAGAGTTTACTATAGCTAATGTGTCAGATCTACCTGAAACAAAACCCTATGCTTTTAACTACTATACTATAGTGTACCCAAACACATCAACTCTATTTTAAAGTATTTTCCTATCATTAGAGATGGTAGCGCTGATCTTTTGGAAACATCACAGAAAATATAATCTGGGAACTCCACTCCATCCACCTGTACAGGGGGTGCTGCTCAATTTCTTTGAGTCACTCAGCACCTACAAAGAATCTGAGCAGCTTTCTGAGTTTTGATATTTACAAAATATAGATGAAGCAATATGACTTAATTCACCAACATTTTACTAAGTTCTCAAAGATAAAAATTAATTTTCTCTCACATGGAGTATGTGCCTGTATCTTTTTTTGTTTGGGGAGAGGAGTGAGAGCAACCTGTGTGTGTGTGTATACGCGCATGTCTGTGTGTATGTGTGCGCACATACATGCACTTGTGTATATGTGTGTTGTGTATTCCAGTAACCTAAAGGTATCAGTGTATGACAACTTAAAAAAAATTTTTTTTTATTGAAGTGTAGTTGATTTACAATGTTACTTTCAGGTGTATAGCAAAGCAGTTCAATTATACATATACATACATATTTTCTTTTCAGATTCTTTTCCATTATATGCTATTACATCATCAATATAGTGCCCCGTGCTATACAGTAGGTCTTTGTTGTTTATTTTATATATAGTAGTATATGACACAACTTTTTAAATTGCTGCCACTTCTGTGACCCATACCTTAGTGTGGTGTATACTAAGCCATAATTTTCTTTTGCTATAACTATAGTATTGAGTGTTAAATATGACTACAGCCCATGAACTGTTAATGTTACATAATGCTTTTAAGCTGTTAGAATATATGTAACTGTTGTTCTTTCCCTTCCCAAACAGGAAGATTCAGGGTCCAAAAATAACATCTGATGAGGGAGGAGAGCTGAGAACCCAGAGTAAGCCACAGGTTGAAATAATCATGATTATTCTGATTTATGTTTTAGGGAGAGTGAGTAACTTGGTTAAAGTGATTGTGGTTGGTGGCAGTAGAAGGAAGCAAAAACACATTAAGGAAAGAATCTATAAAGTGTCTAAAAAGCAGTTAAAGAAAAGAAATAAATTTGGGGGTTAATTTTAGGAGATAAATATGTCAAAATATAATGGGTTGAAATGACCACTTACCTGTAACAAGTGATATATAACATTTTCTCTTTTCTGTGCTTCAGATATATAGCTGCCATTTTTTCTTTGGCTTCTACGAAATAAGGCTGTTCAGCTGTCACATTCCGAAGCATGCTTAAAGCCCGCTCCACATCTCCTTGGGCCAAAGCTAAGTCTACATTAGCAATGGTAACACGCAACTCTTCAGATGTCCCAGAAAATTCATGGATGGCATCTTGTAAAACTTTGGCTGCCTCATGCTGTAAAGATGAAATTAAAATAACATTCAAAATTCAACAAATTACACTAGAAACCAGCAATTTCTACTAGTAGAGAATGAGCAAAAAATGCTAGCACAGTTATGATATTCATGAAATATTGATGGATTTTTGAATGAAAAGTACAAAAATTTAAAATTAAACTTGAGTCCAAATTCAGATGAGATTATAAATATTTGTTAGCTGGAAAGTGTTCTTGTAACTAGGTCAGCAGCAGTTGCTACACAAGAATCGCTGCTACTATAATTTAAAAACATTTACTTTGTGTCCAGCATTGTATTAACCCATTTAATTCTCACAAAAATCCTCTAAGGTCATTACTATTGTTACCTACCACCTTGCAGTAAGGAAAATGAGATTCAGAGAGTTAAGAAGTTAACAAACGATATAATCAGAATTCAAACTCAGGCAGCCTGACTCCAAAGCCTAAATTCTTAGCCACATTCATTACTGCATCTCTGGTGGGATCCAGTCCACAGTCATTCACTGTAACCAATAGCTCTTCATTATATAGTAAATTATTTTATTCCCTATGCCAGGATATCATTTTTGTTATACTTAAGGTGAATATATTTCCTCATTTCCAAATCTGTACCTCAATGAATCTGAAATGTCATTTATTTTAATTCATCTCAACTTTACACATTCTAGACATTCTGATTTAAGAAACATTAAAGTGTGAAAATAAATAGTGCATCTGAGAATCAACTATATCTGGTGGAATTGGTTCTTATTAAATGTATTTTATGTTAATTTATTAATGAAAAAAATTCTTTGATATTTGGCAAGTATCTAGACATTGCCTTCTTAACTCCCACTAAAATATGAAACACGAAAATAACTGATTAACAACTGCTGCAACCTACAAAACAGATATAAATGTTAAGGTCCTCATTTTCTACAATTCTTCTCAGAATTACATGCTTGTTTTCTATCTTTCTATGTATCTATCTGTATTATTCTCAAGCATTTGATTTTAATGATCTACTTGTATTTTTTTAAGTATTTGATTTTATGATTGTCCTAGGTGTTTACCAAAGCTGCATTATTTCAGTGGTTGGTTCTTTCATTTTCTCAACTATAAGAATTTCAGGCTACCACTTTCATTTTATTCTAGCAGAGTGTGTGTGTGTGAATCCTTTTAGGAATTCACAGAATTCTAACTATATTACGTTATTACTACCTTTCATGGTAGCCAAAGTATACATTAAATTATTATATACATTACATTAATACCTATCATAGTACATTGTATCACATTGATTATTACTTATATTACACATACATTTACTATTACATTTCATGGTAGCCAACATAAGTACACTGATACATAAAGTACAAACTTATGCCTAACTTCAAGAGCTACAGAAAGTACATGATCTGGTGCCAAGTGTTGAGAAATAAATTTTCTAAACTTTACCACTTGGTCAAGGGAATAATTTTAGCTTTTTCATTTCCTACAAATATATATACTTGAATAATGAAGTTCAGACTGGAGCCATTGAATTAAAACTTGACCCACCTGTTCTCCATTTAAGCAGTGAACCTCTACCAACTCAAGAAAGATTGACAGACGATGGCTTGCATCAACTTCAGTGTTTCTGTACTTTGATTTTGTGGAAGCTCCAATTCTCATTCCTGGTAAACTCATTGCCATATGCAGAGTTTTAATTGCTTCTGCTATTTCCCCCATTTTCTTTTGTGACTGAGCTTTTATCAAATGATATAGAGGATATTCTCTCACCTGAAAAAATAATATCCAGAAATACTTCCTTGGACAACATCAACACATAATTAACAATCCATCAAACATTAAACTAATAGGATCTTTGAAGACCATCTACCCTGTGATTGTACACATGAGGTCTATGTCTGTCCTCTTACTTTCTGATCTTTTCCTGTATTAAATTAAAGTAACCTGCCACTACCGTGTGTCCCCCTGGATGACAAACAAGTTGATTAAGTGCTTCTACCATGAAAGAAAAACTGAACCCAAAGTTTATAAAGCTAGCAGATTCTAAGAAATTATTTGAGGAAAGTGATTTGCTTTAACTGAGACTTCCAGTACAGATATAAAGTATTAGA